CCTTCTGCTTGAAGCCTGTGATCTGTTTCATCCCTGACCACACCTCTCCGATATTGTTCTGCTGGAGAAATGATCTGTTACCTTTTAAATTTGTTTATTTTTTATTGCATTGAATCGTAAAAGTAATAACCAGAACACAAAACTCAAACCCAGAACTTGTTTTTTTTAATGAAATGGGCTAGATTGAAGTCACCCGTGGGCCATTTAGCCCTGCACTAGACTGAGGAACAGCTTCTACCCTGAAGCTGTTGGACTCATGAATCTCTAATCAGGATCATCACTGTGAAAAAAATCACTGTAATGCCACTTGATTGTTGATATGTGCTGCTGACTACCCATGTTGCTGATCTCACGCTGCTGATTTATTTCACGTTGCTGTGTTCATTCGTCCTCATCTGCTCACACAGACTCATGTTCGTGCTGCTGTTGTTCGGCATAATGTTTTTGTACTAACAGAGTTTAGCATATTTTTAGTTTAACATTTTTCTTAGTTCATATCTTAGATCTTATTACTGTTTTTCTTTACAACTTATACTTTTGTTGGACGTAACTGGACCCTGTGTACACAATTTAATTCCACCACAGGTACCACATGTGTTGCGTATGACAAATAAAGAACCCTTGACTTTGACTTTGAGACAATAAACCTCCTATCCCCCAAATGGTGCATTAAAGTATCTAGTCAAATTCCTCGTTTTAAGAAGTCACTGTGTAGGACTATTGGGCAAAGACAAGCATCTCAGCAGCTCCCACAGAGGAGAGGAGGGGAACCAAGATTCAATATCACATGTCAGCTGAGTGGATCGACACTGGCGAACATTGGATTTGTGTGGCAGTGTCTGGCTGTAGATCCTAAAAATAGACTGGCTACAGCTGAGGGCACGGGAGCAGCTACTGCACCTTGTTGGTCTCTGCGCTGATGTGACTCTGGGTGTCTTTGAGACGGGAGATGGAGCTGTTGCTGAGGCCGCCCACCACCGCCATCAACGTGTTAAAGTTCTGCAACTGCAGCAGCTTCTGTCAACACAAAGTGCAGAAAACAGATGGAGATGAGAAAACCTTAAAGGATTTTAGAAATAAGAGTGCAATTTTAGAGACATATCCAAGGAATCTGAAATGTAGAAGGATGTTTTAGTTTAGTGTAGTTTATAATTTGTCATATGCAGATCCACACAAGGTCAACAATGCTTAAAACGAGAAGAACTGTCTTGAATCATCATTAAAAAAAAGAAATACCATTGCATGCATCAAAGTACAAAACAAAGCATCAAAAGTGAAAAAAAAAAATCAACATCTACAAGGTCCAAAAGAAATATAATAAACAACATGGTAGAATACAACAGTGCAAGTAGGATGAATCAGTACCTCACAGAAGACCCGTCTTAGACAGACAACATATAGTGTACAGACAACAATATACAGCAATAAAAAGCAATTACTGGTGAAATAAAAAAGTGTTATAAAAACACTTACTTTTAGAAACATAGTCCTATTAGCAAAGTGGTTCTGTTAGCAGTGAAGTGTTCTTAGCAACATGGTCCCATTAGCAGCATGGTAGTTAGCACCATGGTCCTGTTAGCAACATGGTACTCTTAGCAACATGGTCCCATTAGCAGCATGGTAGTTAGCACCATGGTACTGTTAGCCACATGGGCCTGTTAGCAGCATTGTATTCTTAGGAACATGGTCCCGTTAGCAGCATAGTCCTATTAGCAGAGTGGTTCTGTTAGCAGTGAAGTTCTCTTAGCAACATGGTACAGTTAACAACATGGTACTGTTAGCAACAATGTCCTGTTAGCAACATGGTACTGTTAGCAACATGGTCCTGTTAGCAACATGGTCCCGTTAGCAGCATGATACTGTTAGCAACATGGTCCCGTTAGCAGCATGATACTGTTAGCAACATGGTACAGTTAGCAACATGGTCCCGTTAGCATCATGGTCCTGTTAGCAACATGGTCCTGTTAGCAACATGGTCCCATTA